TTTTTGCACCCTCAGATTCCAGATTTTCAAATAGTTGTATCTCAGCCAAATATTGTCCTGTCCTAACAAATCATACATCAATAGAAAGCTTATGATGTCAATGATAATTGACCCTTATGACTGGTTTTGTGCTCCAGGGTCACATTTATTGAAACTAGGGCTGCACGATAAATCGCATGCGATATTTAAAGCGCATCTTATGAGTAAAGCCGGTTCTGTAATCAGCGGTAAATCTCCATCACCTGGGCTTTCACATTGAGCAGCATTAACTACACAGAGCCGTTGTTCACAGGCAAGCTGCGCAAAACCACGTTCATATTCGCGCGATTTTTTGCGCAGCTCGTCGGTGAACAACGGCTCTGTGTAGTTAATGCTGCTCAATGTGAAAGCACGCAGGTGATGGAGATTTACCGCTGATTACAGAACCGGCTTTCTGACAAGATGCGCATTAAATATCGCATGCGATTTATCGTGCAGCCCTAATTGAAACTAATGCCCTGGTATTAACATCTATCCTAAGCGATGTGATTTGTCCAGATGTCCTGGTTTTGGCTTCGTTTTCATATGGACATGCTCTTTACAGTCCTCATACATTATATGCATTTGTATTTACATTGCTTTCACTGTCCTCTGTAGATCGCACTTTCTCACAATCACCACGATTGGTTGGTTATGTACAGTGAAGCATGCTATTGGTCAGATTACTCTTAAGTCATTACCTTCAGCAAGAATGAAAACAATAGGAAAACAAAGCCAAAACCCAGACATTTCAGGCGATTTAGAAAACCTGGCCAGGACATATCTGGGGGAAAAAAGAGGATGTATCACAAATGGTATGATGAGATCAGCTTTTCCACCTGGTAGCAACATTCATCTCCTGTGGCCACTTGTGTTTGGATTTTAAGACAAGACCGTACAAGCAAACCATTGTTTTTTTTTTTTGTTTTTACATTTATTAAAGGGATTGCCCCTTGAGATGATCCATCTCATTTTCAAGGGGGTCCCTCAATGACATTTGCAGACATTTTTTTTATTTTTTATTCATACACTGCTCAAATTTGAGATTTTGGGCTGCCATTTTGGGCTTTACCCTACTCCCCTGTGGTATCTTGCCTTAAGAGGAAGGCATGACACTTGTGGTGAGCCATGTGTTGAATTCTTGACATACGTCATGTTAAAGGAGCTTTAGTGTAGTTGGTGTAGACTTGAAGCAAACTCTGTGCTGACATTGCAAGCCATTGACACACAGCACAACAGAATCTGCTCTATTAACATGTGTATGAAATGTGATTGCGTTCTGTTGATAGAATGAGGCTCGTAAGCTGAATCATCAGGAGGTGGTGGAGGAGGACAAGAGGCTGAAGCTGCCGTCAAACTGGGAGGCCAAGAAAGCCCGTCTGGAGTATGAACTCATGGTGGACCAAAAGAAGAAGGTACAGTATCAGGTTTTAAGCCTGTCGTTTCTACTCCACCAAACAGAGTTGCAAAAATAATAACACAAACACTACATGCTGTTTGTGAATGGTCACACATAGTGACCAAACTCACAAAGCTGGTTAAGTTTTAATAGTCATGTTTTGTATTAGATTTACATGTTTTCTGATGTTTTAAGATGAAAAAGTTGATAAATTATATGCTCTATCTCTCTCTGTAAGCACTTTCTGATATTATAGTTGTTTAACTATTTAAAGAATCTAAATTCAGTCCCCAAAGATCCAAAAGTAGATGTATTTTGATTGTCTGATCATTTCAAGTATTAAAAAACACATTTTTAACACACATGCAAACCAGTTAAAAAAGTTTTGAATTTTAAATCTGAATAAGTGAATTTCGAATACATTTTGTGTAAAATGAGTGTTAATATGTTTACATTTGTTTTTTCTTTTCAGCACATACACAACTGTTCAAATGTTTGGTGTCAGAAAAAGTCAGCTAGAATAACTGTTTTATAATTGAATATATTTTACAATGTAATCTATTCCTGTGATGCAAAGCTGAGTTTTCAGCATTGTTTGTTGTTAAAATAGTTGTGCTGCTTGTATTTTTGGAAACCTTTTTTTTTTTTCAGGATTCAGGAACAGCATTTATGTGAAATGGCTATTATTTCCAAAATTATAAATGTCTGTCGCTTTTGATCAATTTAGTGCATCTTTGCTGAATAAAAGTATTAATTTTAATAAAAAACTCTTACTGAGCCCAACCCTTTAAACTCTAGTGTATTTGCTGTCATTTGGCCTCTCTGCTCTCTATGTGCCAGTATCGGTCATTAAAAGCCCCGTATCAATCAAGCACTCATTCTGATTATGTGGCGTGTGAGGAGGAGTATGTAAAGCTGTGAATTGTGTTTGTTTGTCAGGAGTGTGCGGAGCAAGGTGAGGACTACGACCGTGTAAAGCTCCTGGAGATCAGCGCTGAAGATGCAGAGAGATGGGAGAGAAAGAAAAAGAAGAAAAACCCAGATCCAGGATTCTCAGGTATGAAATGCTCGTCAGGTTAATGAGGAGCCTCACTGATTGGCTGAGAGTGAGCGGGAATGTGGCTGCCATGTGTGATGCTAAACATGTGAAAATGAAAACATGCAGAGCTTGTGTTTCACGCCTGGTTATCATTGGTTCTGGTAATTATTATCATTTTCCTTCTGCTTCTCCCTGTAAGAGCCCCTTTCCCCTCTCAGACCCCCACAGCTGGATGTGTGTTTGTATTCATCTCTCTCTGTGTGTGTGTGTGTGTGTGTGTGTGTGTGTGTGTAGGCTACGCTGAGGCCCAGCTGAGACAGTACCAGAGACTGACGAAGCAGATCAAGCCAGATATGGAGAACTATGAGAGACAGAGAGAGGAGTGGTGAGACTTTATTTATACTCATTCTACTTCAGACACGCTAGTGGAGCTGGCTGTTTTTAATACAAGACTATGGACTGATAATGGAAACAGCCACCAACAGTAGTTCCTGCCTGAGCAATGACTTTTTATTCTGTCATATGAAGATTTTCTGTCTCATAGTATAAATGGCGATTATAACGTTCCTAGTGAAGATATATATTCAAAGGGAAAATGAAAATAGAGACCAATTTTGGTCCCCAATGGTAATTTTTGAATTTGAGACAATGATGTTTGAACAAGTATTGTGTAAAATAAGCATTCATTTCATTTCCTATTTTCTGCACATGTTTTCTGTTACAATCTCTTGTTTACCAAGGCTACATTTCTTTAATCAAAAATACAGTAATATTGTGAAATATTATTGTAATTTTAAAATAACTTAATCTATCATTTATTCCTGTGAAGCAAAGCTGAATTTTCAACATCATTACTGCAGTCTTCAGTGTCACATGATCCTTCAGAAATCATTCAGATATGCTGATTTGCTGCTCAAGAAACATTTCTTATCATTATCAATGTTGAAAACAGTTGTGCTGCTTAATATTCTAGTTAAAACTGTAATTTTTTTCAGGATTCTTTAATGAATAGAGAGTTCAAGAGAGCAGCATTTATTTAATCAAATTAATGCATCCTTGATGAATAAAAGTATTAATGTTTTAAATGTATTAAATCTTACTGAACCTAAACTTTTGAACAATAGTGTACATAAAATAAACACAAAATGTAACAAAATTGATCCATCTATCTGTAAGGCATATAAAGCTTCACACTCCCAAAAAAACAAAACAAATGTTTTTCAAAACTCTTGAACAAGTTTTTGTCAAGCCAACATTGTTTCACTTAAACTTCATGCCTTAAAGGTTTAAAATGACAGTTGAAGTTCCTTCAAAATTCACATTAGAACTGGAATTCTGCATCCTGTTTGCAGCCTCAAATTCATTCCGAAACATTTCTTATTATTATCAATTTTGAAAATATTTGTGGAAAGACCTTGATACTTTTTTAGGATTCTTTGATAAATAGAAAGTTCAAAAAAACAGCATTCGTTTGAAATAGAAACAACAATAGTAACAAATATTAACAACAAGCTTTTGAGCTTTTAAGATATTTTCTGTGATTGTGTGAAATTGCTGTTGTAAATAACTAGAAAAATAACAAAGTGCTGTAACAGGAAAAACTATTTGCTTCACAAATCAGTGTTTTTATGATTATGATATGAAATAAAGCCTAAATGAAGCGCAAAAGTCCAATCGTATTGCTGTTCTACTTGTGTAATGATAAAGAAATGAAACCCTGATGATTTGCACGTGTCTCTTTTGCTCCTAGTGGAGAAGATTTCCACCCCACCTCCAACAGTCTGATTCACGGCACTCACGTCCCGTCTAAGGAGAGCATCGACCGCATGGTGGACAATGTGGAGAAACAGTAAGAATCTGTGTTTGTGTTCATGGCACGCTGCAGGGAATCTGTTAGATTTCAGATCTTACACACTGCAGAATCACCTGGTGAGCAGATCTAATCGCACACCTCAGCGTTCCTCCATCAGAGTTCGTGCAGATCGCGGCTCTTTTGAATGTGATGTTGCAGCCAATTTCAGAGCGCTCTGAGAGCACGGCCTCCTGTGTTTGTTCCTCGCTCCAGATGTGTTTGTGCTGTTGCGTGCCTGTCGCACATGGATGTGTGCGCCGGCGAGGGTTTGTTTATGCGCAAGACAGCATTCTTCTATTTTGGAGGAGCTGCTTTTAGCTTCTGAGAGACATTAGACAGGGCTATGGCTGCCAGATCGTGACGCACAAACACGCTTTGAAGATTTTTGAAGAACCGTCTGTGTGTATGTGGGGGGCATGCGAGTCTCTTTGATGGACTTTGAAAACTGACATTGTCTGTTGAAGCATCAAACTGGGAAATGAATGGCTGAGGAGTACAGCTGGGTGATATAGCTGATGTGAGGATTTTAATGTGCTGCTTTTGGCCATTATGTTTCCTAAAGTTTGTCATTTTAGTATAATTTATAATTTTTATAAATTATTAGAAATAACTTTTATATTTTCAATTTTAGTTTCAGTAATTTTTTTTAGTTTGTCATTTTATTAGCTTTGTTTTTTATTTTAATAAAATTAAATAAAAATAAATTATATAAATAATAAATATAGCCTTAATCTACTTTATTTCGGTTGATAAAATAAATATAGCCTTAATCTACTTTATTTCGGTTGATAAAATCTTCTTTTTTTTTCTTGTTCATTTAGTGAAAAACTATTTCCAGGATTATTTTTAACTAGGTTTTACTGTGTTTTATTTCTTGCATTAAACATTCTTTCTTGCATGTGTAATCTCCATAAATGTCTCCTTGTGTGTTTAGGATTGAAAAACGCTCTAAATACAGTCGCCGCAGGGCCTACAACGATGACGCTGACATCGATTATATCAACGAGAGAAATGCTAAATTCAACAAGAAGGCTGAACGTTTCTACGGCAAATACACTGCAGAGATCAAACAGAACCTGGAGAGAGGAACAGCCGTGTAACTATGGAGACTGTTACTATGGATACCCCCCCCCCATTCGCCAAGCAGTAAGAAATCATGTACAAATATTTTTAAGAAATGCTCCTTTGAGATTCTTCTTCTCTGTAGTGGTCTTGTGAATTATTTTTATTTTTCTCTTTACAAATTGAATCTTTTTATTTCAGGGAAAAATATTTGCCTGCAGTGTCAATGTTTTACTTTGTAAATCCATTCATTTCCTCAGCAGTTGACTTCATCAACTTCAATAAAAAAAACATTTATATGAAAAACAGTTGACTTCATGGTGCCTTATGATGTAGTCTAAGCAAGATTATGCCACAGCATTGGTGAATTGTTGATTCTGGTTGGTTAACAGATGTGACTGGAAAGTGTTTTGTTGTTGTTAACGCAAAATCAGATTTAAAATGAAAAACATTTTTATTTCCAAGATGGTATCTGGACAGCACTCTCATGCAAAGTAATGGTCATGTGAAAACATACTGTTTGTGATGAAACAATGCCTCAAAGTTTAACTTATTGGTTACAGTTTTAATCACAGTACTTGGCAGTTTACAGTACATACTGTATGGTATTTAGTTAGTAGTAATAGTAGACAATAGTTTAGTTTATATACTGCAAGGTTATGAAGTAGTAGACTTGAAGGCATTAGAGTTCAGAGAATGTTAACCAAAACTATTAAAAACTGTTTTTAATAATGAAAATAAAGCTAAAATAAAATATAAATAATACACTGTAAAAAAATGGTGTAGTACTGAGAAATAAATTTCACAAATAATAAAGAAATGACAAGTAACATTAAATTAACTAAAATTTTGAAGTAGATGAAAGACATGAAAATGGAAATGATTAAGATACTAAAATTACTACAACAAAAAGTGAAACAAAAATGTAAGCAATATAGATCATAAATAAAAATAAATAAATAATAAAAATAAATAAAATTAAAAACACTAATAAAACGAAACTAAAGCATATAAAAACACTTTATTACTAAAAATTATTACTGAAATTTAAATTGAAAACAAAATATAAAAGCTAATGCAAAATATTATTAAATACTATAATAGTTTACAAGTAATACCAAAAACAAAAAACACTGTGCCATGCTCTTTCTGAAGTAGTTATGGTGGCTAATTCTACTGTGCATTTTAGAGGTGAAAAGTTGTGTTAAAAATGAGCACATTCATGTGTCAGCTATGTATGAATTGAAAGTAATTGACTCCAGACAGTTTTATTTAGCATTATTGGAATATAATTGAACACCTGAGGTGTAATAGCCACATTTACCGCCTTTATTATAGCATATATTGAGAAGATGACGCGTGATTAAGCGACTGCATCAGTGAGTGTGAGAACTCAACGTGATCGTTTTATCTTTTGCATCTGCGTCTGCCAAATGCATAAATGTAAATAATTTAAACAAAATGGTTCATCAGATGTGCAGATTGATTCATTCATCAAGACCTCATAAATGAGACCCTGTTTAAATCTACAAGCTAATATCATCTTTTGAGGACTACAGAAGCCCATTTCCGCCATGCAATAAAAAATAATAAAAGTAAAATTTGAATAAAGGTAATTCTGAGTTTTTATCCCACAATTCAGACTGTCTCGCAATTCTGAGTTTATCCCAATTCTGAGATATAAATAGAAAATTGCTAGATAAAAAGTTGCAATTGTTTTTTGGAATTCTGCCTTTTTTCTCTGAATTCTGTTTACATCTCACAATTCTGTCTCTTGTTGCCACCACAAAATACAAAAGTAAAAATGCACCTGCAACTTTTTCTCACAATTCTTATTATTCCATTCTTTATATTTTTTTAGTTTATCTCTCGCAGTTCTGCATTTTGTATTGTAATTCTGAGTATATCTCTCACATTTCTGACAATTTTTTCTCAGAATTGCAAGAATAAATTGTGAATTGTGAGATAAAAAGTCGCAGTTACCTTTTTACATTTTTTTATCCCATTCCAGAAACAAGCTTCTATAGAGGCCTGTATAGGACTGAACGTGTATCAGAGATCTCTGGCATCTGCATAAATGAATATGTTATGAATTATCCTGGTGGGGGGAGCAGGGGTAATTGGCTTTGGGCGGCTGCTTTCAAAGCTCGGTGTGTTGAGAATTAGAGCCATGCCGTGTTTATGATTTCCTGCTTTTGTTCTCAGTGGCAGTATTGGCTGCGGGTGATTAGACAGAGGGGGCCACACAAATCAAACCCTTTGATATCTGAGCTGCTCATTGGGAAACTTTGACTTCATATAGAGCCCTTTTTTTAAATATGGAGAAATAAGGCTTCCATTGGAAGCTGAAGAATGCCATTCAACAGTTTCTCCTCTAATCCACGTGCCACAATCCAGTAGAACCACAGTCGTGAATGAAACACTGCTGGAGGTGTTTTTACTACCTCAGAGTGACAAACATCTGTCATGTCTGACTGGTGCCTGCTTATGATCCCATTGGCCATTTAAATAACTGGAAGGACGTCTTGATCTGTTTATTAGCAGATGAGGATTCCTGGAGAATTGTGTTGCTTAACCGGCTTTGCTGTCTCTCTGTTTTTGCTTATCTTGGATATGAAGCCAAATATAATTTCCTGGTTCAAGAAACACATGTATATTTAGCATACTGCTTATACAATATCTGTGATATGCAATATGTATGAAGATGTACTACTTTTTAAATGTATGGCATCAGTAAGATTTTTCATGTCTTCTGCTCACCAAGGCTGCATTTGTTTGATCAAAAACAGTAATATTGTGAAATATGATTACAATTAAAAGAACTGTTTTAATTTTGCTTGCTGTTTTTAAAGTGTAATCCTGATTATCTTTCAGAAATCATTCTAATGTTCTGATTTGCTGCTCAATATACATTTATAATTCTTATCAGTGTTGAAAACATTTTTGTTCTCTTGCAAAAGTATTGCGTTCTCCTGAGAAATGTTGTGTTCTCTCGCAAAAGTATTGCATTCTCCCCAAAGTATTGTGGACTCCTAAGAAATGTTGCATTCTCTCACAAAAGTATTGCATTTTCCTGAAAAACTTTGTGTTCTTGTGCAAAAGTATTGCATTATACCTAAGAAATATTGCATTCTCTCAGAAAAGTTTTCATTCTCTTGCAAAAGTATTGCTTTCTTCTGAGAAAATTTGCAAAAGTATTATGATCTCCTGCAAAACTTTGCGTTCTCTTGCAAAAGTATTGCATTCTCCCGAAAAACTTTGCGTTCTTTTGCAAAAGGTATTGCATTCTCCCAATAAACTTCGTGATCTCTTGCAGAAGTATTGCATTCTCCTGCAAAACTTTGCGTTCTTTTGCAAAAGTATTGCGATCTCCAAAGAAACTTTGCATTCTCTTGCAAAAGTATTGCATTCTCCTAAAAACTTTGTTCTTTCGCAAAAGTATTGCATTCTCCTGTGAAACTTTGCGTTCTTTCACAAAAGCGTTGCGTTCTCCCGAGAAACTTTGCGTTCTTTCACAAAAGTATTGCGTTCTCCTGAGAAACTTTGCATTCTTTCGCAAAAGTATTCCATTCTCCCAAAAAGCTTTGCATTCTCTCACAAAAGTATTGCGATCTCCCGGGAAACTTTGCATTCTCTTGCAAAAGTATTGCATTCTCCCGATAAACTTTACCTTCTCTTGCAAAAGTATTGCATTCTCCCGATAGACTTTGCCTTCTCTTGCAAAAGTATTGCATTCTCCCGATAAACTTTGCCTTCTCTTGCAAAAGTATTGCATTCTCCTGATAAACTTTGCCTTCTCTTGCAAAAGTATTGCATTCTCCCGATAAACTTTGCCTTCTCTTGCAAAAGTATTGCATTCTCCTGATAAACTTTGCCTTCTCTTGCAAAAGTATTGCATTCTCCCGATAAACTTTGCCTTCTCTTGCAAAAGTATTGCATTCTCCTGATAAACTTTGCCTTCTCTTGCAAAAGTATTGCATTCTCCCGATAAACTTTGCTTTCTCTTGCAAAAGTAGGCTATTCCATTCTCCTGTGAAACTTTGCATTCTTTTGCAAAAGTAGGCTATTGCATTCTCCTGTGAAACTTTGCATTCTTTCGCAAAAGTATTGCATTCTCCCAAAAAGCTTTGCATTCTCTCACAAAAGTATTGCAGTCTCCTGGGAAACTTTGCATTCTCTTGAGAAAGTATTGCTTTCTCCTGAAAAGCTTTGCGTTCTCTCGCAAAAGTGTTGCAATCTCCTGGAAAACTTTGCATTCTCTTGAGAAAGTATTGCTTTCTCCTGAAAAGCTTTGCGTTCTCTCGCAAAAGTGTTGCAATCTCCTGGAAAACTTTGCATTCTCTTGAGAAAGTATTGCTTTCTCCTGAAAAGCTTTGTGTTCTCTCGCAAATGTATTGCTATCTCCTGAGAAACTTTGCATTCGCTTGCAAAAGTATTGCATTCTCCCGATAAATTTTGCGTTCTCTTGTATTGCATTCTCCTGTGAAACTTTGCATTCTCTCGCAAAAGTATTGCATTCTTTCAAAAAGCTTTGCATTCTCTCACGAAAGTATTGCTTTCTCCTGAAAAGCTTTGCATTCTCTCTCAAAAGTATTGCGATCTCCCGAGAAACTTTGCATTCTCTTGCAGAAGAATTGCATTCTCCCGAGAAACTTTGCATACTCTTTCAAAAGTATTGCATTCTCCCGAGAAACTTCGCATTCTCTTGCAAAAGTATTGCATTCTCCTGATAAACTTCGCATTCTCTCACAAAGGTATTGCTTTCTCCTGAAAAGCTTTGCATTCTCTCACAAAAGTATTGCTATCTCTGGGGAAACTTTGTATTCTCTTGCAAAAGTGTTACATTCTCCTGAGAAACTTTGCATAGTCTGGCGAAAGTATGAGATGGTCCTCACTGCAGAACACAAGATCCAGGGGGTGTGGTTGGATCCAGATCCAACTCCTCCCACCTTACATATACCTAAACCTATACCCATCTGATCCCTATGATCCCTAAACCCACCCATCTCCACCCCTAAACCTACCAATCTCCACCCCCTAGATGTAACGCCCCCTGGATCTTGTGTTCTGCAGTGAGGGGCTACTGGAAAGTATTGCATTCTCCTGAGAAACTTTGCATTTTCTCACAAAAGTATTGCATTCTCCTGAGAAACTTTGCGTTTTCTCAAAGTATTGCATTCTCCCAAGAAACTTTGCGATGTCTAACAAAAGTATTGCGGGCTCTGTAGGTTTGAGACTGTGGACTGATTAGTCATATTACC